CTCGTTCCGTGTATTTTGTTCTCTCTCGTCTCTACCACTGACCGTAAACTCTGTTATAGTGACTTCTAGTGCCTTGATGGGACTCGGCGGACTAGCTGAAGGGCCTCCATCACGTTCACACACTGACCGCTATCCAGCAGCTGTGTGTGAGAATGGAACTATTCGCAGGTCTCGCCTCTCCCTTAAGAAGTGCTGCCGGCGTATTGCCTCTTGCCCCAAGTGCGGGCTAGTTCGACCAACGGAGCCTACCCCATAGGCACAAGTGACTGTTTAACTCTCCGAGGAAGTAGTACGGAGAGGCAAATTGTCCTCAAGTCCAGTGCATATAATCAGGTCAGTGGCGACTGAGAAGGTTCGTGAACAGAATTCAATTTGTCATCGCTCTACGTACTCATCCACCGCCCCGCCATGGAGTCATAGCGAGAGTATTCTTTTATGTGGAAATGTGTGCCCCACAAACGGGCCGTGTGGTAGATGCGCTGAACCAACGGAGGGATCATATCGGACTCAAGCAGGCGTTATCGGAGTGCCCAGATCCGGTTGCCAGCATACGTCGCGCACACTGGAACCCCTGCCGCCCTCTCCAATTGTTGTTGTTGGTTAAAAAAACCTGATCATTTGCTGTGTGGACCAGGGGGTGTGGAGTAGAGCGCCAAGGCACGGACTCGACCGTGCCATACACCTGCGCCCTCCTCCCGCCTCCGGTCTTCTTGACGCTGTCTTGACACCGCGCCCAGGTGGTGGAGCAGGAGGGAGCGTGATAGATGCTGTGCAAGTCTACTGCCACTATGGACTAATTCACGCACAAGTCACCGCCGCTGTTTTCACCTTGCTATGGAGCATACGGTGGACATCGTCAGGCACGACGGACGCACTGTCATGTGGAAATGTCCGTCGGTTTCCTATCTAGCTCAGAAAAGTGTTCGTGGAAAAAAATTGATTTGGGTAATCTTTTTCGCAAGGAAAATTCCGAATGTTTCCTGATCCACCTTCCATGCTATCGGGTGGGTAAATGTCCCAAGACCTATCGACCTAACAACCAACAAAGTTGTGCTTTTCGTTCGCTGGTAAAAAAACTGTTAAGTATTATTATTATTTTCCGAAATGAGTATTCAGGTGCTCAAAATCTGTCGAAACACCTATTAGTTACGTCTGGTGGATTCTAGATTGAATACTTGGGAAATCCTGGTTGGGCAGCCAGGTTACCGTATCAGATTTGATGGATTCCAAACGTTGCAGTAGGCCGGGCCGGTAATTTGACCCAAATGTGGTTGAACTTACGGTCCCCCGGTGGGACACCGTAGCTCAGGTGGCCAGGGCGTTGGCTGTACTCAAGCTTTCCTCTTGTTGTCGTGGGTTTGGATCCCACAGAGGTCGCCGAGTTTTTCACAGTTGGGTCAAAATAAAGTCTCATCTCATTTAATGTTCCACCGAATTTTTTTCAGCACGACGGTTACGCAGCAAGTTGGCGATAAGGGAGAATGGTCCTGCAGTTTTTAATTTCGGTTAGCGGATTTAATTCATTGGTTAAAATGACGAATTTAGTTAATTGAGGCAATGTTTTCCCGGAATAAATTTGAACGAGGCAAAGTCGACAAAGCATGCAGAATTTACTGACGTCATAAATTTCGAGACCTCTCATTCGATTATGGACGAAACCCTGTTCCCATGTACGCCCTCTCATTTCGTCCCCACCCGCCCCCCTCTCCCCGGCATGACTGAATGCTCCCCGCACGTTGCACTCTAAATCACGCCGCACAAGTTCTCATACTTGGATGACTTCTCTCCCCCTCCCCCCCCCCTCGCCATATGCACCCGCATACTAGACCCATGTTTCAGGTTACCTATCACGTTTTATCTCTGTAGGTCGATCGTTGATTGAACAGTTTGCTTTGTCATATAACTATGCAATGACCGTGTGCAGCTGAATGAGAGGTCTCGAAATTTATGACGTCAGTAAATTCTGCATGCTTTGTCGCCTTTGCCTTGCTCGAATGTAGTTAAGTTCTTTATCCACAATCCGGAAGACGTCTACATAACAGTCGTAGTATCTCAATCAATTGGCAGGCTGTTTGACTGACGGCGTTTCGGAATTCTACATAGAGAGGATGGTCAGCAGTGGACAAGTGGGCGAGCCTATGATCTATTTGCCTACAAGGTCGACCGTTGAGGATGAGTTGTATGTTAAGGATACATAATGGTAATAA